TCAGCCCTGGCTCATTTGATAATTGTAAAACTATACTTTATTTACTATATAAACCATGTATCATTATTCAGTACAATTCATCTGTAATACACCATACTTTCCGAAATATATCAACATTGAAATAGTTTTTGAGTCACTGTATATATATACATTTATATTCCCCCTTTTTCTTTTGATGCACTTGTTTAGTGGATGAATGTGTATTTTCATCTTAAAGCTTGAATTTAAAAAAAAAAAAAAAATGAAGAAGATTTGCAAGATGTTTTTCTAAACTTTATAGAACATTTTATGAATATTTTTTTGTGAAGAATATATATACATATATTTATGAAGAAACATTATAACTTTATACTGAAACATGTTGGAGTCTTGAGCATGACTTTAACTGGAGCAGACAGGCTGAGAAGGGGTTAAAAGCTTCAAAGGCATCACTTTCCCTGAGAAATTCCAGAACTTTCTTCTCCTGCCTATTTTGTCATATCTCCAATAGAACTAACATGAGTTTTTTTTGTTTGTTTGTTTATTACTGTTTTGTTTTGTTTTGTTTTTTTTTTAATTAAGAAAATTATGGTCAAAGGATATTCATGCAAAACAGCAAGGCTCATGAATAGTACCTTAGAGACACAACCGGCTCCAATAGAACATAGTCTCAATAGTGGGATTGAATATCATCCCAAAGATAGTTTGAGGTGATGGTGGCTGAATATTACAAAAATGCTCTTTTAAGAACAAAAATAATATTGTGGTCTCAAGACAAGCTTAAGAATTCTAATTAAGAATTCTAATTGTTGCAAGCACGTTGCTTAATGAACTGCATAATAGTGAGTTGATTATGCATCTTCACTGCAAGTTAAGTAGTTTTGAAATTTAATGTTTTGTTAGATTGTGCAATTAGAATTTAGTTTGAAGGTAATTCACACAGTCTGAATTTCAGTCAGGATTCTTTGCAATAAGAGAGATGGTTGGACATTTTGAAATAACTTGTTTTATAAGCAAAAAGGACCCTCTACACAACCAATTTTATTTGTATATATTGATTCATTCAACAATAGATTCATTCAAAAGAATAGTAAATTAATCACAAGGAAAAAGCATTTTTTTTTTCATTTCTATTTAATTATGAAGAAAGAATTATGAGAATTCTATTACAATTGCACTAATGCATTTTTACAAGATTTTGTAAAAATTACAATCTTATAAAAATGCAGTAGGGATGTGGAGGACATGGATTCACTAACTCTAATAACAATGAAAGTATTATTAAGTGATTTTATAAGAATGGCTGTACTAGTAGTGATATTTCCAGGAAAAATTTTAGGTGAATGTTACAAAAATTATAAGTTGTTAGATTTATCTAATTTCATTTACTTTTAATATTAAATTCTAGTGAAGTTTGAAAACTATAGGTTCTAATAAATAAGTTGGTTGCAAAAAGAAAAAAAATGAAACATAGTATTACTGACAACAACTTTTTAATACAATGTGGTTTGTGCTTGAAGACCAATTTTATGATAAAACAAACTTCTAGACATCAGAAAAAACAAAGCTAAGTAAATTACTTATTCTCCCATATAAGATATTTAATTTTTAAAAAATGAACTTAAAAACTATATAAGCTAGAGAAAGACATATTTCTTATTAGAAGCAAAGATTAAATCAGTTATTTTGAATCAAACTACAAAATTTACACAACACATAATATATGAAGTATCTAAAATAGTTTAAACTTCTACAAAATCTTATTAGATACAAAGGCCAATTATATAAGCATCATGAGCTTCTTCTGCTAAGTAGCCAAAATTTGGACTAATTAGAAGAACCTAGAATTTTAGAGGCAATAAACTATAGAAGGAATATTGGAAAAAAAATCCTAGAAATTTCTTTAATATAGCAATAAAGCTTTAATTAGAAAAAATCAAATTTATTTAATAAAAAAAAGCTTTACTTCTCTTAAAAAGTATAACTTAAAAAGCCTTAAACAATTTAATGCTAATTACGTTTTTCAACACATCATACAAATTTTATGCTAAGTGTCTTTCAAATATAGCAAATATTTTGAATAGTAATAAAAAAGTTGGACCTAATTTCCTTTCTTCTACTAAAGTTAAGTTGGGAAATATTTTTTATACTCAAGAAGCATTAATTAAGCAATGAATTCTAAATAAATCTCAATTTTGTCAAAAATAATTTATTTTAAAGTTGTCACAAAAATCTTATAGATTTAAATTTTTAAAAAATTAGATAGTTATTTTATTTTATTTATATAAGTGATTATCTTTATATATTAAGACAATAAAAAAATTATAATATATCTATGTATGTATATATCTATGTATGTATATATATATATATATATATATATATATATAAAGATTTATACTTAATAAAAAAATAGAACAAGGTTTATTATTATTTATAAATATTTCTTATATTTCAATCTTTTTTAATATAGAGGCTTATAAAAAATGATTAAAAATTAAAAATTAGACCAAATATTATTAATAAAGATAAATAAAATAATATACAAAAAATCTTATTTTAACCATTTTAAAAAAATAGACGATTTCAATTAAAGTGCTTGAGCTACTATGTAAATTTAGTTTGAATTTATTCTTAAAAATTAAATAGTCCAAATATTTAATTTAATAAGAACCTAAAGTATTTCCAATACTAAAATTTAAAAATAGATTTGAATAAACCCTGGCCAACAATAATAATCATTCATAGTTTTAAGAGGTTATTTTTGATCTGTTCTTCTAAATTTACAAAATTAGCCAATTTTTAGCAAATAGGTCAAAACATGAAGTAGACCAATGACATGCTGCAAAATCAATGTGGTTGGAAGGGCTATTATCTTAAATAATATCTTACTATATTCTATATTTTTTTAATTTTATATATAAATTTTTTTAGAAAAAAATATTAGAAAAAAAAATTATAATATATGCATTTTTATAAGACATTAGGAAAGCTATACATAAATTTAAAATAGTATCAAATATTTTTGCAAATTTTAGAAAAACTTACATTATAGACTTAAGTGCTTAAGAAATATAAAAAGAGGATTACTAAATCAATTCAACTCCAATATTTTAGATATTATATATCTTTGCAAAGATCCTTGTGGACTTTATTGCCATAGCATGAATTCAACTTTATCAATTTGGATGGTGAGCATTTTCAGTGAAACTAAATATAAAAGAATTAGTTTCCTCACAATTGAGAAGAATATATAGAATATTGGACGATGGGTCAATTTAGTAATTTTATATAAAAAAATTAATAAAAAGTGGTGGTTGGATTTTATTTTAGCTTTAATTTCCAATTAGAAGTAGAATGTAGAAACCAAAAAATGGCTTTTCAATGAAAAATATTATTAAAGATGGCCTATCACTTACACATGAATTTTTTAAGTTTTTTTAGATTAGATAAAATAAATAAATTAGTTATTTCATTAATGAAAAAAATACTAAGATTGAAGTAGATTTTAAAATATTTTATAGAATAATTAATATTTTTTATTTGAATCTTAATGTTTTTTATAATTTTTTATTAAAACTTAATACCATTTATTTTTAGAATTAGATGATTTTTTTATAAATTATGTACTTTCTTTGTATATTTCCAAATTAAAGAAAAACTACATGCCAATTTTAATCTCTATTAGAAAGACTTGTAGTTTGAACTAAGTGCTTCTAAATAAAATTACAAAATAAATAAATTAATTAAAATAATAAATGCATATTTTATCTAAATCAAAAAGAATAAGCCAAAAAATAATCATCAAAATTAGTATTTTAGTATAATATTTTATATTTCTTATATTTTTTAAAGTTATAAAGTTTAAAATTTAATGTTTTTTTGAGGTTCATGCTATCTATAATGTTATATATAACAAAACTTATAATTGACTTTTTTATATATCAAACAATTTTCTTTTTACTTATTCTTTATTGTTTTTATTAAAACTTGTTTAAAAAAAAAAAAAAAAACAACTTTCAAAAATCAACAAAGTATATTTAATTAAAAATTAGATAATAAATATAAATATACATACATATATATATATATATATATATATACATACATAATACTAGCAAGATATATCTAATGTATCTAATAGAAAAAGTTGTAACAAGAAAGCATTTACGATCCTATCACTCGACAACCAAGGTAGGTTTTGAGATACTTTGGCCTACCTACTATAATCCTACTGATTTTGGTTTAATTCATCGGTGAGTTTTGTAGAATCTTAAAGTTCTAACAACTTTTCATGTCTATTCTTAATACCCTTCTAATGATCCTTGATCTATTCTGTCTACAAAAGAAAATTTTGTAGCTATTGGATTGTTTTTCCATCTTCTTTCAAGTGATTTTTTATATCATGCAACCATACTTTGTTAAAGTGGTTTAAGTAAGTTCTCTACTCTATTGATCATTTCATTCCTCTTCAATCAATAAAAGAAATTTCAGATATATTAGATTGTTAACTAGACATCAGTTTTTTCTATGCAAAATATACTTAACTACATTCAATCCTATAAAAAATATACAAGACTCCATACATTATAATTTAGGGGAATGCTAAATAGATCCAGGATTTTACTAAATTAATCAACCCATTTCAACCATCATGAAAAAAATTCATAACTTCTAAATTTATTTCTTCACTACTAAATCCAAAATCAATGAAAACCAACCACATTCATCATGGTTACTATTTGTTCATCGAAGGTAAATCAACTTAATAAAAACTTGGGTCTATTTAACATTCCCCACAATTTAATATTGTTTGAGATTCACCACCTTAATCTGTATAAAATCTAGAATCTAACTTACACGTAAAATTGTCTTAAAGTAAAGTTAAGGGTAAATATCTCACACCTGACCCCATTCCCTCGACGAATGAATTTTATCAAATATGGATGGAACAGGGATGAAGCATGGATGATAGAATCCCAGAAGTCCCCCGCCGCCGCCGTCGCCCGAGTATTCTACCGTCCACAGAAGCTTGTTGCAGTCTTCAAACGGTTCTAATTTCAATTTCGATGCCGAGGAATCCATGAGCCCTAGTCTTAATGCGAGGAGGAAATCCGGTACACTCTGGCCACTCAGTGTTGCAGAATCCACTGTTCTTACAGCCTCTGAGAACGATTGGAGATCAGGGATAGTGTGTACATGGTTAAATGCTGCGAAAGGGTCGAAAGTGCTGCGCAGATGAGTTTGCTGATGATCGTAACTGCCATGGAAGAGTGACAGGTTATGTCTCTCGCACAGACAGGGCGATTGAAAGCTCTCAGGCGAATCTGGAATGAAGTGAAAGAGTGACGTGCTGTTGTGTGAGGGAGGGAGGAAACCCGTAGCCATGCCAGTCTCTTGCTTTTCGTCATCAGCGTCCGCGCCTGCGTCTGAAGGTCCTGGGTCAACGGACTATGGCAACTGTTTTGGGGCTCTGTTGAAGGCGTGCAAGCGGTCAAAGTCTGTCAGTTCGGGTGCAGTTCTCTCAGATGAACTTAAACGAAACCCTCGTTTTCGGACAGTCTCTGAAGATGAGTTCCAGAAGCTGTACAAAGTGGGGAAAACCATAGGTTCTGGAGGTGAACCCTCTTCTCAAAAATCTTCAATGTATTTCAAGATGTTGATGATCCGTAGTATAGTGTTCGCCGTTTCTGTTTATGAAACTGCCCCCACTTTAGGTCAAGGCAGCAAAAAAATAGTAAAAGTAAGAAATTGCACACAATGAAGATTTCGAACGTGGTATATCAAATAACTGTTTGCGAATAGTGGCATTGTAAAGAAACTACGTCGTCGAATTTACAGGGGTAGATATTGTTCACGTTGCTGTTGGCCTGCTTGATTCCAGGGTTTTCAATAGTACGGAATGGGAAACACATACCTACAGGAGAAGACGTCGCAGTGAAGGTTATTGATCGATCTAAGTATGTTCCGAACGATGGGAGTTTGGAAAGAGAGATTGTAGTGCTGGATAAGGTAACTTGCATTTCTACCTGGTTGCATGAGTTTTATAAGAATCCTAATTCGTTGGAAAAAACACGTACTGCGTGACCGACCATGATCCTTAGCTTTAATTTTGACGCTGTGGTTAGGTGCATCACCCATATTGCATCGATTTCAAAGAGTGCTTCTTCACGAGAAAGCACGTGTATGTGATCACGGAAGTGTATGTTTACAAGACCATCTCGCCCTTAGCGTCTGAAGCTTAAATGTGCAGTCGGGTTTCCATCATCTTGTTCACAATGAAAGTGCTTATGAATTATGCGGATCTTGAGGATAATAGCACCTCTGAGAGAAACTAATAGAAAGAAGGACAGTGTAACAGGAGGCGAACTTCTGGAGCGGGTGCTAAATAATGGTAAATTTTCTGAAAAGAAAGCTTGCCGAATCATGAAGCAGCTTCTCGAAGCAGTAGCCTATCTGCACTCGCAAGGCATAGTCCATCGAGATCTCAAAGTGAGTCGTCCTTTACTCGTCTTTCTACATCTGGACCAAAGTAATGCTGATGAGGTAAGAGTTGTCTTGGCATCGGCAGAGTATAATGATGAATGTGGAAATATGCAGAATGGTGACAAGAGTTGAGAGATGGAAGTTTGTCGTATGCAGCTCGAAAATATTCTCCTCAAGTCGCCTGACGAAGACTCACAGATTATAATTGCGGATTTCGGTCTACCTAAAATATTCGAAGGAGCATCCACTTTGACAACTATCTGCGGTTCACCCCAATATGTTGGTTGGTTCCACACGCCCATCCTGATGTCAAGTTCTTCACTGTTTTGCGAAGAGTTCATTTGAAACTATTTGGCTACAGATTGTATCATATTTTCTATTCCTTGATATTTTTCTATATTCTTTTAAGGGAGAAATAACCTCCGAGTAAGCTTATGCGGTCGTTAAATATTCAGCATTCCTGCTCGCGGAAATGAAGCAATAAGATTGTCGCATTCGTATTCCAGGCTTGCTGTGAACCTCGGTGGAGGATTGTGTCAGGTTCGAGAAATGAAATGTTTTGAATACACTGATACCTGTAACGGTCTTCTCTTCATTACATTTTACAGCTCCAGAGGTGTTGGAGGTTGGTCAGAAGCCATTATGTTATACTCCAGCCGCTGACCTATGGTACGATGTGCTCTGATTATGCATACAACCAAAGCTATCCTTCGATTTTTCTTCCTCCGTTACTGGAAGGCCTCCGCAAGTCATTTTTAAAACAAAGTAGCTCGCATCTTGGGTTAAGTGTCCAAAGCAGATTAGTCGAACTAGAAGATTTTTAAATTCATACACAATCCAATACATCATATGCAGGAGTTTGGGTGTGATCATGTACATACTTCTATCGGGGAACACTCCATTTGATGATACAAACGAGGCTGTATTATTTCAGAAAATCAAGAATGGGTTATTCAGTATGAAACAACCTGTGTGGGAAACCATTTCCTTGGAGGGTGAGTTATCTCTCCGTACGAGATTATTCAAAACTGCTAAAATTCTCGACCAACAAGTACTGCATCTGGGAAGCATCTGCACTGTACAACCCGTGTGGTTTAATTGAGGGGATTGGTATCCAAGCCCGCATAACTAATAACGGATTGGTAATGGACAGGCAAAGACTTGATGCGAAGACTTCTGATCATCGTGCCAGAGAAGAGATTAACAGCAAAGAAGGCATTACAGCATTCATGGTTCGAGGTCAGGACTCGAAGGACACTTTAAAATACCAGCTCATTATTCTCCTTGCGTAGTTTTCTTCTTCCGTTAATGGATGTAAGTACCGTATGAAAATTCCCTCTCTTTTGACAGGTGATGATCGACGAGCCAAAGCAGAACATTCCAGAAACACAGGGGATTAGTGATGATTCTCAGAAGAATATTGACTCGAATGAAGAGACCAAGAAGAAAGAAGTATTCACCACCGAGGGAGGAAATGTAATGATAAATAAGTCGAAGGAGAATCTTCAGGCAAGACACGAGACTTAAGGAATTGTCTCATCTCAAAAGCATTGGGTACCAGTCAAGAAATCGTTCCAGTTCAAGCACGGCTAGATATGGGTGAAACACCCATGTCGATTGACAAAGAGCGACAAGAAACGAGGAATGATAGGGAAGTTATCCTCAGAGACTGACTGCAGCAATAGAAAGGCGACGAGGAAGAGGTCAGTAGCATTACAGGATCAACTTAGGTGTTGTAAGAGCCTAGAATTAAATGCGGCAGAAGCTGAAAAGCTATCCACTGAAACATAAGGCAAAAACAAGTTGCATTGCAAAGATGCATCACCAGTCAGGATAAACAACCGTGAATGCGAAAAGGTATTTTCGTAATCAGTCCCGGAGTTATTGAAAATTTAGCACACACTCGTAATTAAGTTGCAGGCATCGTTCATGACTATTACTTCACACCTTAGCAGATCCGAGGATGTACTTATAAAATTTCTGAAGAAATAGACTCTAGTTTGGAAGGCATCGATCCATTATAATGGCAGATTTGTCAGCTCTCAAATATTCAGAACGCATGCCAAGTAATTGTACTGTTTTCTTCGCAATCGTTCCTCGAATGATGACAATACCCATTGGCTTGACCTTCCGAGCGATGTGTTCTTTGGCTTGACGTGGAAATTCACATCATCCCATTTCCTGGAGGTTGAATCGATAGAAGCCATTTTGACGATACTGAATCTGGAAACCTTTGTTCAGTGGCTTCATCAGCGTTATAATAACTCTACTTCTAAAATAAATTCCAAAGTGTGAGCCGTGCCCTTTGATCTCTTTAAACTTATGCTTTGCCCCTTGGAAATGGCAAATCTAGTCCTTTGCCCATCAAGCAAGTAAGGTTTCATGAAATTATGTAGTTGTTGATATTGTAATTTTTATAAACACAAATAATTAAATTTCGTCTTAATTTGACACAGTTGTAACAAATATCGGTTCAATATTTTTATGTGAAGACCATTATTTCACCATCTGACCATTAAGTGGAGGTAATCATTGGTGAAGTTGTAACACTGAGTACATCACTTAATGATTTGTCACACAGTTTATGACAGTTCATGATAACACATAATATCACATTTGTTATGACCTTTTAAAGGACAAAATTTTCTTCTAGCATATTAGAAAATTTCAAGACAAGCCATTTTTATTTTTATTTTGTTTGCTTTCCTTGTAAAGAGCACTTATTGTAGTCTAGGAAACTTTTCAAGATCATATCTTGTTTCAAATGATTATTCTATTTTCACATACTAATGGCTTACATGTCAATAGATTGTTTAGTTATTTTGTTTTAAATTGATCAATATTTAAATTCTACTAGTTGAACTTGTGTTGTTGTCTCAAAAATTGTGTTTTTAAAGAAGTATTTTTTTTGAAGATATGTTTATAAGCCAAAAAATATTTTTTACAATTTTTTTAGGAAACAAAGAAATAAAATATACAATGGAACTTTCAGCCACAAAGTGGGCTAGTTGAACCCATGCCATTGTCACAAATAATATGCAAAAAAATCAATTACTTTTGTTCAAGGAACTACTTCTTAAGGCATAACCATAAAAAAAACATAAAATTGTGTTAAGACATTTAAAGATGTACTAAAGTCAAATTTTGAAACTATAGATAAATAATTAAAAAATAAAGTATAAAAAAAATACTAATAACTAACTAATCAAAACTTTTGAAAAAATAATATTTAGTGTAGAATTTAAATTCTTATTTGGAAGAAAAAGAAATCTTAATAGAAGAGAAAGAAGTGCATTAAGAAAGTGCTATATAAAGTTGACCATAGAAAAAAACAACTTGTTGTAGATCCAAGCTAATGTGCTTCACCAATTGCCCTTAGAACTTGTTTATTATTATTGCAAATGCAAGATGTATTGAAAATTGTTTTATCTTCAAAATGAATGGAAGCTCTTTTGTTAAAAAAATTAATGTAATCTATTAAATGAATACCAAATTTTTAGTAAATTGGTCTTAAAGAATTCTTGCTTCAAGAATTTGATCTATTAGTTATGTAATTATCAATCAGGTTCTATTACAAAGTCTTTGGTGAAGGACAATATTTCTTAGTAGCATATTAAAAATCCAATCTTGAGACAAAGTCTTGATTTAGCCATTCTAGAGGGATTAAGCTACTTGATAAATTTGGATAGATGAATATTATTATTATCAATACCATCTTCAATAACAACTTCATTAGCACATAGATATTCTTAAATAAAAAAGATAGCCAAAATGTTTTTATTGATGTCCTCTAAATCATTATTTCATGCGAATAAAATGATTTTATTTCTTAAAAAGCCATCATTTGCTACACCATCTTTTGTAAGCCTTGGATAAACAACATCAATTAGTGACATTATTTATTCATCAACAATCATGTGATAATGAAGTATAATTCATTATTAGGCAATAAGCTTAGACCATTTTTAATCTAACAAGTGGTAAATAGAAATATTAATCAATCATAATTTAACCATAAAGAATACATATGATTCCAAAGAGTTGAATGTCAAAAAGATGCTACTACAATTTTTTCTTAAGTTGTTTTCACAATCACTAGCAATATTTGGCAAAAATCTCTACCAAAGACTACTATAGCTCTTCCAAATGAGCAATCAATATTCCAAATGTCTCTAAAAGAACAATCAATTGCCTTGAAAAAATGATGATGTTGCATTAGAAGTTCATTCTAAATAATAAGCAAATAAACTCAATATGGTTGGATTTCTTATTAATTAAATAAAAAGAATCTTTATTATAATCTAGTCAAATCTTAAAAGTAGAATTGACGGTCTTTCCTTTCTCAAATAGCAATGCGGCAATTCCAGATGATGCAACACATATAACAATCTTCTATAACAATCAAATTTTAGATGCCAAAGTATTGTAAACAAACGTCTTATTAATTCTTATAAGTCTATTTAGAAAAAAACATGTGCCTATATTCTTCTAATATGAAAGCTATAATATCATCATATACTTTCTTTTGTTCATGATTCAATTATAGAATATAGTGCTCCAAATTTGCTTCTAAGTGAAGAAGATAGAGATGATAGAAAAATCTTTTCTTGATAACCAAGCTAAATGTTTGTCAAACCAATGCAATGCATTATAATGAAGATACAAAACATTCATCTTGTCTAGATTAAGTATGACTTCAATCCTTGTTTGTACAAGTTATTCATAATTTTTCTTTTGTTACAGCTGCATCCTTTGGCAATTTTGATGATCAATATCATCTTATTCTTCTTCATCTCTTTGACAATCTCTTCAAAGTTGTTGACCGATTGCTCTTGAATCAATAGTAACATTTTCATTTACAATAGATACACCTTCTTTTTTGATCTTTCTTCTAATTTCTTAAACTTTGTTGGACAAGTGCTTTATAATAAATACTTTTTTCCTTGTTTGTAATTGTTTTAGTTTCTTTTTGTAGTCTTTCATGTTCTCTATGCTATGGTTGAGCAATTGCTCTTCAATTAATTTCATTTATTATTAAAGCCAGACCATTGATAATGACATGGATTCAACCAAATAAATGGTGCAAACTTGTACAAACTTATACCTCAATAAAATTCCAATAAAACTACATTGCTGAAGTATTTCAGCAACATCATATAGTACCTGAAAATTAAAAATGAGTTCATGTAGCTTAATTAATCAAATTACAATGCCACAACATTTTAACAAAAATAATGATCTTACATCTATATATCCCTATTAATCATGTTTAAACATGTTTTCACAACGACTTACTACAACAAAAAAAACTCAATTTTTAGAAAAAATCTTGTTTACACATATGATATTTTTCTAAAAAACATGTTTACGCATATAAAGTTGAACATAGAAAATTTTACATGAAAGCAAGAAATAAAATTCTTAAAATTAGGTTTTTATTTTAGAATTTTAAAAGTATTTTCAACCAAAATAAGAATTGATAAATTTGATACTTGATATATTTTATATTTTATATATAAATATATTTGATTGTATAATGATTAATATTTGATACTTAATATTTGACATTTGATATTTGATACTTGATATTTGATAATCAATACTTTGATACTTGATATTTGATACTTCATATTAATATTTGATTGTGTTACATCTATATTTGATAATTGGTACTTAATAATATTATATTTGATAATTGATGTTTGATAATATTATATTTGATATTTATAATTGGTATTTGATACTTCATATATTTGATACTTGATTCATTATTTATATATAATAATAATAATAATAATCCAAAACATCACAATTTCAGTCGAATTAGAGGCACTTTAACAAACTGAATTAACTCAGGCGTATTGCCACAAATCTGCCATTGAAATATTCATCAGGTGCTTAAAATTTCTAAGCATGGCATAAGAACGATCTTATAATCAGCTCATATAGCTCAATAGCATAATGACTCTAAGGCACACGTCTTGTAAGAACCTCACCTTGTACCTAGGATTGATCAAGTAAAATAAAAGTTCAACAAAACTCATACAAAATCAGGACTGAGATCAGCTGGAAAGGAAGTATTTGCCAAGACCTATTCCGGTGCACAAAAACAACATAACTCTACCAATTTGTTTTTATTCTGTTTTAAAAGTTTTTATTTTTCACTTTTTATTCTGCTAATAATGAAGCTGTTCCCTACATGATCAGCGGTCACAAACGTGAAGGCTTATTCTACTATAAATCATGCATTCAGACTCTCTTTCAGCCATCATTGACTACAAAATCAAAGGCACAAAAATCAACTTCTAACATATGTTTAAAAATAGCGGAAAAATATGTACTGAGAGGTGTATCAAAGTTGGGGAGGTTGACTATACATATATCGATTATGTACAACAACAAAACTTAATCACCTCTTGACGCCGATTGCCATATTAATTATGTTGCACTCATGTTAATTTGTGAACTCATGTTGATTTGAGGGGACTAAGCACTCTGGAGATTGACATAGCTGCCAGGACGTGATGAAGAGTGTTTGGTAAATCAAAAGATACTTCACAATAGGGATTAATGGAGCAAGTATCTTATATGCATCCAAGTATGTCTCGGTGGACCGGAGGTTGATAACCGTTGAGTCGAGCAAAATTTATGTTCGCATACGTCTACCCCTTCTTAGCGTCGGAGGACCCGGATAAAACACCGCAAAAGTCCATAGCATCACACATCTTTGAATGTCAAAAACAAAATCACAGATCGACTAAAATTCACAGATTGACAAAGTGAAAACATCGTGGTGACTACATCCTGCCGACCTCTGAAAATCCACTGTATCCGCAACACGCAACACGCAACACGCTTGAAAATCAACGCAACCGCAATAGTTATACATCCTTGGTAGTACACCGCAAAAGTCCAGATCAGCAAACATCTTTGAAAGTCAAAAACAAAATCATTTGAAGTACCGCAAGTTATTGTATCGCAAGTTATTATTTTATCAATTGAATAGCATGGAATTTTATCAAGGTACAATCAATCAAAAACACAGCGGAAAATACAAATCGCAAGTAATCGCAAGTGATCAAGGGAAATATTGTGCTAGGTTCCGAAGCTGACTTTGTACCAGGCTGAATGTGAACGCTCCAAGCTGGTAAGGCAAACAAAGTAACAATGTTTGTAATTGCAAGTATGGAATCAGTATGAAATCTACACATATTTAAACGTTTCACAGAGAGATGCATGCAGCGAACACATTGTTCATCACATTGATGTTCTGTGAACTCCAGCATTTCTCCGGTTGATGAAAACAAAGAATTTTGCATGCAGTCAATGAGATCGCCGTTTTGTCTCAGCTGTTTATCCCGTGTATTTGTCCCCCCTTAGCAATTTTATATGAGATTGTTCTGTTTCATCCATGATCTTGTTGATATAAGCTGTGTCATTTTCTCAGCAGCAGATTCGCCTAGGTGATCGAAGGACAAAAGCGCAGAATGCCAGATCAGCATCTGTGAGTTGTGCAGCTCTCACTGGAATGCCAGTCGCAGAGCTTCCTGAGAACCTTAAAACTGAGGGTAAATTGAGGACATGAATTCTAAAGGATCACTTAGAGGTAGTGGCTTGTCCTCACAAATCCAGATTCTAGATGATCAGTTGGAAAGTCAAAGAATTTGGTCTGACGCGGTGATTCATTTGCACACAAACGATTTGCACACAAACGATTTGCACCGCGTAGACAGTGACGTGGCCCAATTGAGCTTGACTTATTTGGGACACATGTTTAATGTTAACCTTGTATCGAATGTCGCTCGTTTCTCCATCAGGGGTCGATAACATTCCAGCAAATGATTAGAGATAACTCGAGTGGGAAATTAATACTGCATCACTTGAAAAGCTACACACGAAGAAACGAATCATGCAGAACAGACCTCTTGCGAATTGCGCTCTCCATGTGTGACATACTTCACAACAATATCGTGACTTATGGGTACGACTTGTAATTCAATTTAATTATGCCAACGGATTTTGCAGGATTAGGAATGAGTACCTGAAAGTGTCAGAAGTAGCTAGATTAGTAAGAATAACCCTGCTCTTTACACAGTACGTCATTCAAATTTCTGAAGCTCAAAGAAGTTTTTGCTGACAATTTTCGAAAAGCTTGAGACTGGCTTAACATCAACTTGATTGTCTCGTAAGTTGTGTTCTGGAAATGAATTGCAAAGTTCATTTTCAGAACAAAACTCAAAATCCTTAGAAGCTACGTATCATATTATATCACATCGACATTGAGCCAAACCTCTCAGTCGGTTAGAGATCAATTTACTAATATTAACATGACTATGCGTGTCGGTAATGAAATGTCAACAAACGTGTCACTCTTCATCAATACATTCCTCAATGTCCTGCCAGTCGCTAGTACGTAAGCTCCCACCTCTGCGGGTTGCTTCTTCAGCAGAGAGCCGCTTCTCATGTCTCAGACAAACTCCCTGCGAACATAACAAGCAATCAAGCGTCAATGCTAATGAGCTGCCATATTTGGGAGACAAGATATCAAATAATTTTCGGCTTCGCTTAAAAGAGAAAATCATCCCATTTTAGTAACTTACCTTAAGAATTCCGGACTCTTCGAACTCGCATCTAGAAACTATACATTGATCAGGATTTACAAGCCAGCCAGTTTCGACAAGAGTACCCCCAGAATCGGTTCTTGTCAACAAGGTCCACATATCTTTGGGAAGACAAAGGAAAAGGAAGGAATCGGCTAAAGTCCTTTCAAAAATTTCTTCGCCTGAAAAACTTAATCCACCGGTTTTACACATCTGCAATGACCAGCATCTCAATAATTAGTTTGCTACAAATCAAACCAAAAATAGAAATGCAGAATAATTGCTCAGAAGCGTCATTATGCACGGCTTCGAAACCATCAAAAACGAATCCCCACACGGTAACCAACATTGATTCAATGTACATATATAGCTACAAGCCTACAAAACTCCTAAAAACCTTGAAATCGATCAACATTCCACGGCTAATATTTCTTAACCTGTTGCTTGACTAGTTGATTTTGTAGACTGTTCGAAGAGTACAGCATTGCATGCCAAAATCCTGACAAGGAGGAGACGTGCAAAGGCTTTTCAGTCGCAAAACCTGCGGTACCAACCGCACAACCACCGAGCGATTCACCATTACGGAAAGGGCCTTCCCAAGCTTCACGGAACACCCTAATGTGCCTACGCATTCGTAGATGTTGGCAGACTCGAATTCGCGTCCGGCTCTGCTCGTGCACAAGGCATTGCTCCACTTCCAGGTCGTCACCCTCACGGATCACCTCCTTACCTGGGCCGTGTGAGCTTTCGTTTTCGACGCGGTTGCCACGCCATGTAATTGTGTACGACCCACTACCATGGTACGCAAGCATGGAAGCGTCTCGTTGTACATCACATTTCTCGACGCCATAGACAGTGACAGCATCTTCTTCACAGCCCACAGTAGGGACCAGCTTTATGTCCTTGTACGCAAAATGGCCTTTCTCAGGATGGGCCAGAGTCGAGCACTGCGTTTGCCAATCGTGAACCTCTCTACCCCAATCGTGAAAGGCATCAGGTACCACGTTACTTGGCAGCTGAAGAGGCTCCCCCATGAAATTGAACTCTGCCATGTACCCGTCCCATTCTCCACTCACATGGGCACCAAATTCCTCCCAATCCGCAGGTCCTGCGTAAACCCCAGACCTCCACCAGTCAACACCATGTTGCTCGTTCGAAACACAACAGCGCAGATACTGCTCCCAAAATAATCAACTCGGTGAATTGCTTCTCACAAATAAGCAACCTTCACCTGAAAAGAAGCAAAGCAATGCCACATTATTGTGAATCGAAGCCGAATTCTTGTCCCCAAATCCTCTTATCCAATCTTACCAATTTCCAAACCTAGTTCGTGATTCTCAAGGACACGTCTACAACATCAATTCCCAGTCCGAACCCTAAATTCATCCCCAGTGGCCACTTAATAGCAAAATCCTCGCAATCTCGTAACACGGAGAATCTCTCCTCGCGACAGAACGAAGCCGTGCAAATTACTCACACTGCGACTACACCTCTACACGATAGAACAAAAACCGACTGAAAGAATCAGAGAAGGGCACAGTACTTTGAAGCTTGTCCGCTACCACCGACCTGTCGCTGCGATCCCCGCCTGCCACGGGCACTACGAACCGTCTCCAGACATATCTCGGACTCCTCGCAATCGCAATCCTTCCGCGAACCTCGAGAGGAACTGGAGCTACGTCGTTTCGGGTGTCGATCCTCCATGCGCTGTGCCTAACATGGCACGCGGGCGACGCGGCGCGGGATGCGAAGGGTGGAAGCAAGCAGATGGGCATGGTGTTTTCCTACGCCCTGAACCCAAGGATTCGACTCTTGCGGCGATGAATTCAACTCCGGAAGCGTGGATCACAAACCGAGCAGCTCGTGACGCCGACTCCGAAGAATGTTCAGCGTCGCATCGTGAGTGTGTCGAAATCTGCGTCGTGGGGGGCCCGTCTACCGACGCCGAGGTTGACTTGTGGCATCCTGCTGTCTTTGGCGGTTTGAAATTTTAAGTTTAGGATTTAGTTCGGTGCAAAATGATGGAAAGATTGAGGTGTTGTTTGGTTTTCTCTTTTTTTTACACATTCACAACTATGTAATATAAAAGATTCCAAATAAAAACTATGGGAGCATTCAGAAAACTCTAGATAGTTTTTGAAAAAATATATATATATATATATATATATATATACAGAGAGAGAGAGAGAGAGAGAGAATATTGACAAATCTTTTAGATTATTCCAAAGATATTGAAAAGTCTATAAAAAAAAATATTAAAATTTATTAAAATTTGTTTAAAATTGTGGTTTGTGAAGTGCAACCAGGTTTAGGGTTTAGGGTTTTCAAAAGAATATTTTATATATCTTAAAATTTTTTTTAGAAGATTTAATAGAACTTAATTTCTATAATATAAATAAAGATAATAAGACAAGGGACATCTTAATTTTGCTAATATAATTTTTGAAACAATTTAAGTAAATAATAAATTATTTTCTATTTTTTAATATATATATATATATATATTAAAAACCACACACACACACATATATATATATATATATATATGTGTGTGTATGTGGTCTTGAAAAATTGTAGATTATTTGTTGAAAAAAACACCATTGTAGGATTTAGTTTTTAATATTAGTAGATCACCTATCTTTCAAAATATTTTAGTATTTTAAAAGAAGTAGATTAATCTTGTCTGAGTTGTTATTTTCAACTAAAATTTTCCTTTATATAAAGTCACCTTTAGTTCAGTATGAGAAATATACCTGAATGAATTTCCATGATTGTTTGACAACTTATCAATAATAATTAAAGAAATATAAAAAGTCTGATTTAGTCTTATTAGAGTACAAATCATTAAAGATTATTACAACAATTGTTTAAAAATTAAAAGTTATAAATATTCATATGTTGCTAATTAAAAATAAAAGATCCAAAGGCTATAATGTTGGATAGAATTGCTTACATAAAAACAAAATTTTAAAGATCCTTTTAGCAAGTAAAATTATTTTTATACTTGCATTCTTTTAAATATCTTAATTTTTTTTTTTCATATGAGATTTGATAGTATTTTTTTAATTAATACTTCATTGCCTTTGTTTGCATCTTGATTATAAAAAGCTTCATGACTTTTATATGATTTGAAGTTATTTTTATGCATTTATGACTACATCTAGACGAAGCAACTGAGAAAAATATCAAAAATAAAACTCTACTTTTTGCAACATGGTTCAAATATAGCTACTACCTACAATACAAAATCTCAAAAACTTATTTGGAATGTAGATTAGAACAATAAAAGTCTTATCAATTAATTTTAGTATAACTTGAAAGATAATATTAATGATCTATCATTGACAATGCCAGAAGTAGATTCATTGAATCAATCAATCACTCAAGCAACTTCATGCAATAATTGAGTGCTTAAATAGAGTCAATAGTTAAGATTTGTTTAGAAAGAAACAAATTAAGTATTGACAACAACTTCTAAGAGTTTAAAAATTTATTCATCAAAATCACAATCTATAAAAATTGATAAAATTCAATTAAGATGGTTAATTCTAAAAAAATAAAATAACCACTATTGTCAAGAATTATAGTTATATTGTAAAAAAATATGTTAAAAAATAAAAGATTGTTATATCAAATCATATTGATTCATATCATATACATACATTTAAACACTAGTAATTACTAAGATAAGAGGAGTTAGGTAGAAATAAGTAAAAATATAGAAATTTGATAATATCTTATAGAAAAGCTTTTAAGAAGTTGTAAAGATACCAATTTGACTTTACAAGTATTTGTAGGTCATCCATAGGTTAAAAACTTGGCCAACAAGTTGGTTACATGTTGCACTTGTTAATTTCTTATGATATAAGTTGGTTATGTGATGCACATGTTAGAAACAAGTTTTACAAGTTGGACACCTATCAAATGACTTATAGAATATTACTATATAGCTCCTTAATTAGATAGTATATATGGAGGTAAGAAAGATGCCTTCTTCGTTCTTGTCAATGTATTTTTTATTCTTAGAATTATTTCAATAATCTCTAGTCTTCTTATTTTTAAAACATGCTATAAGAAGATTTTCTCAAATGTCATAAAAGGTAAGGCTAAAACATCAAAGAGAAATATATATTAGTTTTGTCAACTCGTTTTGTTTCTTGACTCAAGTGAGATTGAATTGCCTGTATATTAGAGGTTTTTACTTCCTTCTATTCTAACATCTTTTCTCTCTCTCTCTCTCTCTCTCTCTCTCTCTCTCTCTCTCTCTCTCTCTCTCTCTCTCTCCTCTTATTGTAGTATTCTATATTATTTGGATATACTAACTTTTAACTCCAAGGATTTATAATTTCACTTACTACTTTTTCTAGACTATATCCTTGCAAGTCTAAGTTCTAACATTAAGAAACTATATTATCAGTTACCTTCAATAAATGCGTTTGTTTTATTTTTGCTTTAATCAATGGAATAAATTTGAATTGTCTTAAATCCACCTTACTTAGGCTCTAGATTGTGGTAGCAAGTAGACTATTCTTTACTTACAATCTTTTTCTATCTTTGTCATTTTTTTTTTCTTTTTTATCTTAAACTTGTCTTTTTTTGCCTTGCTAGAGCCTCTTAGATAGACTTTATGGTAAAATATTAAGTAGACGTTGGAATATCTTTATTACTCCAAAAAAAACAAATATACATTTTTTTTTTATAAATAAAATTATATAAGTTATTTAAATTTGGCCTTAATACTTTAACAACAATATTACTTTAGGTTCCAACTTTTGAATTGCAATTAGAACTAATTTATAGTTTAAAGTCAAAGTTTTTGTTATAACATCAATAACTTTTTGAGATGTCATTGATAATATAATTAACTAAGGATATTTCATTAATTTTACTTCTTACTTATATGATACTTCACACCTCATCTGTCCTTCACTACATCAATTATTTGAAAATATATTAAAGCCTAATTATAATGGCTTTTTTACTTGTACCTATTTTCAAGTTGTATACTCATGTTATCTCTTTTTAACATACTACAACAAAGCTATTACACTATTTCAAGATTGCTACATATTAATAAGACATCAAACATAGTGGGAGACAAGGAGAATCATGTTCCTTGCATCCTCTTAAGAATTCCAATATTCATTGTAACTCAATTATTGAATGCCAATATTCTTTAAAATGATGTCCATTTCAACTCAATGTTGTTACTTTACTACTTCAAGGGAGTGAACATATAGTCACTTCTTTCATTTTTTTAAAAAATACAAGTCTATTTAATACTACATCAAGTTTGAACAAAAAAAATAAAATTGATTGATAAAAGAAGAATAATGAATAATTTTGGTTTCTTACAAGTATTACATGTGTAATAACTACTTAATTATACATCTATAAAATTCACATTATCAAAGTCTTCTATCTTAGTATTTATATTATTCTTTTGCATAAATATTACAAAACCTTATATTGCCAATCAAAGTCATTAACTATCACAATCTCCAACTTTGTGTCATCACTACTATAATTACTAATTAGAAGCTACACCAATTTTTGAACTACGACTAATCTATTATTTGTTATAATTTGTCTATCTTTTGCATATGTTATTTTTTTTTGATATTTTTAATTTTCATAGGCAACCCTTTGACTTCTATGCAAATTCTTTCATATAAAATATGCTTTGTATTAATGATTGACCAACTTAGACTTCCATGATTTTATTCTTAATCAAGTAGAGAGTCTTGGTTTTGATAGAAGTGAGACTTTTCATCCATAGAACTTTGTTGAGCCAACTCCATTGCATTTTATCATATCAAAAAATATTAAATTGTTGTCCAAAGGTGGTATAGATGTGTAAATTTATTTTTTTTGGTTTACTTCCAATACTATTATTTTGCTATTATTTTACATTTGAATTCTTTCCATGGTCCAATAATAATACATTATAGAGTCATTTTAGATGCTTTTGTGCTTACATCTCATTAAAACATGGAGTTGAGAGGAAGCTTTTTATTGCACCTTCTACCAAATTTTTAAGTTTTTTTATGTCTTAATTGTTTGATTTAAAAAATAGGCAATGATTTTGATTATTTGGCTAATCAAAGCAAGCTTCTTTTAATCTATGATTTGATTTCAATGTTATTTTTTGGAAATAAACTCCAAATAAATAATACAAAAAATACTAGATTCGTTGACTGAAATTGCTTCTGTGTTAGCTAGGATAATTTGGGCATTGGCTTAAAAATTGACATAATACAGTTCTTCTTTAGATTACTAGAATTCTTCTTTAAAGGCCTTCACTTATATTTTTAATACATTTATCTTTTTTGAACTCTCTATTGGTTTGATTAGAAACTTTAAAACTTAAGATAGATCTTTGAGGGTATTAATTAATATAGTCACCTTGATTAGTATTCCAAAAAATTTAAAATAGTTGCCTCGAAGGTAATCTAAATTTACTCAGATAATATCAAATAACTTAGTAGGGATAGTCCTTTGCAAGTTTAAATATATTTTATTTATTTACTTTTTAAATTTTGGCATGAAGATATATATATATATATATATATATATATATATATATATATATATATATATATATATATATATATATATATTTTTTTAATTCATTTTAGAGATAATATTTTCCTATGCATGGATTTTATCTTAATAATATCATATAATTTTAAGTTAATATCTTTGTCTTTGTCATCTTATTAATTGGTGTCTTTTAGCTACAACATTATTTGTACTAGGATTCATTTATTTTTCTTTATAAAAATACATAGCTCCTTGATATGGTACAAATAACAAAAAAATAATAAAATGGAGAATTATTAAGTCTTATTTATATTAACTTGTAACTTATAGTATTAAATAAAGAAACAACTTTATTCAATTTGAA